TGCTCTGTCTCTGGCCTTGTTGCCTCTGCACATCCCTCCCTGCCTGTCCCTGGATGCTGTCCTGTAGGTCCTGTTTTGAGCCATTATTTTTCTCCTACTCTTCCTCCTTCCCTTCTGTTTAAGTTCTGTTTAAGGCTGCATCCAGCTCTGGGTAGCACAGGGTGAGGGAGAGCAGGGCACAGCCAGTTCTCTGCTTGTACTTGGGGCTGAGCTCCTGCCGCACCAGCATGCTCTGCACCAGGCAAGTCTTCAGCAAAGACAACATCTGGGTTTCAGACAAGCTCTGCAGGCCATGTGCAAGTGGAAAGCAGTGATTTACAGCTAGGTCAGATCTGACAGGGTTTTCATATGGCCACCAAGTACCGGCTGATGTCTCCAGGGATCAACCCCTGCTAATTTCAAGCCCCTGCATGAAGCACTGAACTGCAGTGAAACCACTGTAAGATATTTTCAGCACGGGCCAACCATATTTTTCACTAACCTCATTCTTGGAAGTTGCTGACCAACTTTCAGTGAAATGTTCCCAAAATAAAAATTCAGTCCAACACAGAGAACAAGGGTGGAAAATTTCAGCCTAGAATGATTAAAATATGAAAAAATTAAAAGCAACTGAAAACCAGATCTTATAATCAAAACTGTTAGGCAACATTAAATATACAATTTGTTGCCCTCTCCACCTGTAACCATAGAGGGATGGCTATTTAAGTATTCAATTTGGGAAAAACTTTCTTGCATAACTGGCCTTCTGCACTTGAGGCATATGCCCAAGAAAGACATCTGATAAGGAGAAACAGTGGTGACTGTATGCAAACTGTTATGTGATCTGAATTATTTACATTGCTTGGAGTTCACCAGATTCTTCACCAAAGTGTTTTGAAGTCCCACCCTGAACTGAGCACTAGTGGATGCATCAGGAGAGAGATGTCAGCTTGACCCATCGTGATTTGCCATCTGTGAAAAGCAAACAAATACAACCAGCTGGAGGAAGGAGCATTGTGACTGTAATAGGAACTGGAGCACTGATTTACAGAGAATCTTTTTGTTGGACTCATGAGCCTTTGACAGTGTTAGCACTGAAAAGTAAGCAGCTACAAAAGCCCAGCTACACAGATCTGTGCAAAAATCAAGCTTTGCCTGTTGACTGCTTGACAAAATTCTACCTGCAAGGATGGACCAGATGTGTGTAATTATTTCCCACACTATTTTCTTTGGTTTTTAAAAGAAGACAGCTAGGTTTCCAGCAAAGTTTTTAGAGGGTCTTTGTAAGGTTTTTACTATACTCCAATGAAAAGGCTCCAGGATTTTAAAACTTGTCCACTTTTTTTCAAGTATATACAGGGGTTATAATAAAAGATATTATCTCTGTGGCAAATTCTGGATTCCTCAGATTACAGCTTCATAGCTAAATCAGGAGTATTACTGCTATCAGAGAAAATACTACTTTGGGAACAAGAAGTCACTGCTACTTTGAATTGAGTCCATTGCTGAAAGAAGCAAATATATCTAGATGCAAATATATCTAGCCTCTTAAAAGCCACAGCATAAACACAGAGATTTTCCCCCTTTTCTGATCCAAAATACAGTAGTCACAGACTATTTTTAATTCATGTAAAATTATGATAATCATGAAAGCATAAACTCTATGGTTTGCTGAATTGGCTGCAATGTGCATCCCTAAAGTAGGGAAGTACTGAGATCAGCATAATGAGAAATATGACAGAGGACCCTGCAGATGACTTGTAGGCTGAACCAAAGATCATGCCAGACCAGATGTAGCTACATTTATTGCTGTGCTGTGCACCAAAAAATGTTAAAAATAAGGCACAGGGAGTGAAGATTTCCAAACACATTAGCAGTACTCTGGTGATGTGATTGTAGCAGTTTTAAGGCCATAGTGCCTTGCAGTGCAGGCCAGCAAGTACTGCACTCTTGTTATTGCTTTTACCAACCTAGATATTGAAATATATGACCCAAACCTGACATCTAGTGGAGGAAGAACGAGGGTAAGATTTTCTTTGCCTTCCCAGGCATGCCCTGGGCTGTGAGCACACACTTTGCTCTTTTCAGAAGAGACCTAAAGGCTGTCTGCCCTATGGCTTGTGCTGGGCAGGGAAGAAAACCAAGGAGCTTGTGGGCATTTCAGCTAAATGTGCGCACCTTGTCTAGCTTATGACACCTTTACCCACAGCTATCCATGCCAGATGCCAGTTCCACAGTGCTGCCAGCAGATAATGAGCTCTGAAGGCTGAATTTAAAGTTACAAGAGACAGTAGTAGAGCCAACCATGACTGGTTGAATTTAGGCAGGATCTTGTGAATGCATCTAACAGAAAGAAGAGGTGTTCACTCCAGCTGCACAGATGGTGTCAGTGACCTTCAATTTCTGCTGTCACAAATGTCAGGTCTGCTCTCCTGCACCAGACCAGACAGTTCAATGCTAGCCCATGGCACTGCAGCTCTGTTCAGCTTCCAGCTTTTCCCACCACAGCAGTTCATTCACTCCCCCATCTGGGCTGCTTGAGCTGGGAGGCCAACAATACTTTGGGAAAGTTTTAACAAGTTTCTGACTTGTCCTCTGCACCTGCCACTGTAGTATCTCATTTCTCAGTTAGCAAAAAATGGAAGCTTCATGCTCTCATACTTGCACAGAAATATTGAAAGCATGAACCCTAAAGGCTAAAAGAATCTAAAAGCCAAATAAAACTGTCCAGTGTTTATTTTTCACATCTTAGAAATTTAAATCAATATAATAAATTGTTAGACATTTAATAAATTAATAGAAATTTAAATAAATATAATTTTGTTACCTCTGTCCTGATGACACCACTTACAGGCCCTTAAAATTGGAGGAAGAGAGAAGGTATTTTAGTTGTTTATACACTGTAGGAAGCAAAAAACATCTCCCACATGCTAGTAAATTATCCAGGCTTTGTAGGTGGGAGTTGTAACTACTCACACTGTCTGTGAAGCATCATTTTGGGAGGATGAAGCAACAAGTTACCAACAGTTTAGAGATTCATTAAACCCACTGAAATACTGTTGCTTTATTAAGTGAATGCAGAGCCATCAGCCACTGCCGAAGATCTCAGCTCCCAAGCAATCGCAATGCTGACAACGTGATGCATTTTTTAGGAGGGATTTTTAATCTCCTGATGGCAAAACAAAGTTAGTGTTATACAAACAGTACAAAGTTTACCACAGGATTGAGCTTTAACCTCTGGTGGTTGCTTATTTACTGCAGAAGAAACAGAAGCTACTCAGTGAAAAGACCTTCTCAAAATCCCGTTTGCAGGCAATCTTGAAGGAGAGGCTCTCACCCCCTGCAGCTTTCCCTGAAACCCAAAGTAAGTCTGAACTGAGGTCTGAATTGGAAGACAGGACTGGGGCTGGGTTGTTTAAAATTCCTGTTTGTTCTGCCATGAGAGGACTTGGTTTATCTTATCGTGCTTGATGATGTTGACCTTTCTAAAAGTTAGAAAAGCAGAAGTTGTGATAGATGGTTTAAAGAATGTCACAATTTATGAAGACTTGTGCTATCAGCACAATTCTCAAAGTCAGAGAAAGCAGACTTGGGATCCTTGCACCCCCTCCTACCTGATGGCTGTCAGAGCAGACTGAACAATCCTGAAGAAATCAGTTGCATTTCTTCTTCCAAGGAGTTCCTCATCCTCATCTTTACTAGCAGAGAATTGTGAGTGCTAATTCTCAAATGCAAACACAGGTACTTCAGACAGTGAGAAGCAGGGTGCCTGCAGTTTGACAGGTTGTGTCTGTGTACATAACCCGTGTCTTCATCTGTGCCAAAAGTGACCAACACGGGACACGTGGGGCTGATTTGGGTGAAGATTGCAACCCTTGCTAATCTGGGGTGGGAGGTTAATCTTGAAAATTAGGATATTTACTTCTTCCTGTATATTTTTTAGAGTAATCAGACCAAGCCACAGCTGTTTTAAAATTTCATGTTTCCACATATCTTGCTAAATACTTATTTTAATCAGGACTGCAAAAGTAATTGCAACAAACAATTTAGAAAATTGACTTTGTCTGTGTTTTGTACATGTTTCTGCACACGCGGGCATGGTTTGCTAAAACATTCATTTGCATAGCTTTCAGTTCTTGCTTCTTCAAAAGTATGTAAGTCCAGGCATTTTCTGGGCAGCATTTATGTTGGTTTGATTAGACATCTGGGTCACACAGCTTCACTTCCATTCCCTGAAAGGCTGAGGTTAGTTCTCAGAAATATGTTTCATATTGTGGAATTTGATTTTTGCCAGTGTTTTCTCATGGTTTGTCCAAATCCTGTATATTCCTTTTACAGTATGTATCAGTGCTCCAGCATGTAATGCAAACACCCAGAAAGTATTTGTTACAGAAGAGAAAGGAAGATCTGTAGAAAATTGTTTGTTTTTTCCACAGCACTGGCCTCTACAGTGACTTACTCTCAGGGTCTGGACATAGTTTTACAGTGTGTTCATCCTGGAGCAGGTTACATGTAGACTCTGTATTTACTTGTTTCCAGATTTCATGATCTTGAATTCCATCCCTGTGCTCCATAACTAATTGTTCAGTCACGGTGTCGTCCTTAGGGGTAATCTGACAAATTATGTTCTGGGACAACCTTTGAGCAGAATTAGTGGAACAAATAATGCAGCTTGTTTTAAGATGGAACTTATGACAGAACTACACAATTGAAATAGCAGAGGACCTAAAATGTCCTCTTCAGGCTGCGGTTTAAAACAGAATGAAGAGAGGCACAGAGATGCAAGCTTCCTCCTGCTCTCATGGCTGCATCTGCAAGTTTTCCTCATACTGGGGTAGTGGATTCGTAGACCAATGTGCAAGACAGACTGAGACAACTCAGCAGCTCTTCTATAAAATAGATGGCTCCAAGTTTTGCCTTCAGTGACATGAGCGCCCCTGGAAGAGTGAATGACAGTTCAGGGATCTAATTTCTGCTCCATGTCATTCTTTTCTTCAGGGTTCCCTACACCTCTCTCAGCAATGTCTATGGTGTGTCTTTCTGACTTTGAAGCTTATGCTAAGAAGTATTTGCCCAAGATTGCTTGGGATTATTTTGCAGCTGGAGCAGACGACTGTTCCACACGAGATGAAAACATCCTGGCATATAAAAGGTAATGTGAGAAGGGAATGAAGGGAGTCATACTGGGACCTTTTAAATTGTTTTTGTGCAAGTATTTGGACTTGACAAGCAAAGGAACCTAAAACCTTGTCCTTTCCAGGGGGTCTCCAAGCTAAATGCAAAACCTGAGTGATGTGCACTGTGTGTGCTGATGCCAGCCTGAGTATGACACGGGTTGTATGAGGCTTTAGGGATGCTGAGGGTATAGGCAGGTGCTAGGGTAGGGTAGGGTAGGGTAGCGTACAGTGTGCTATGGAGGAAAGAGCATGAGCAGCTCTGACAGAATGAGTTGCAACAGGGAGCTCTTGGTGAACAGCAGGAAGCCTATGTGCAAGCAGGCTGGGATTTGGGGAACATGCTGCAGAACCTGAGGGCAGGCACACAGTACAGTGAGGACAAACACATGAATGGTGAGGTGGAAGGACTCAGCCTGCCTGCAAGTAAAAGGAATCTGGGGGAGGAGAGTGGGAGAACAAGACACAGTGACCTGAGGCAGGAGATGCAGAAATTATGTGGTAAACGAAGACCTGGTTTCCATGAAATTTCAGAAAAGTCACTGAACATCTTCTATCCTGAAGGAGATTTTTTGCCTCACAGAATTCGTTTCCGGCCACATATGCTGCGGGACGTATCCGTGATGGACATCAGGACTAAAATCCTGGGTTCTGAGATCAGCTTTCCTGTAGGAATTGCCCCTACCGGCTTCCACCAGCTAGCATGGCCTGATGGAGAGAAAAGCACAGCCAGAGGTACTCTTCTGCTCTGGTGCTGTGTAGCACCAAAAGGGGGTTGTAGAAAAGCCTCAAGAAGCTGTTAGGAGGACTTGAAGTGTTACTGAGAAAAATTTTGAGTCTTGAGGGGGCAAACTCCATTCCCACTTTCTGACACCCTGCATAGGAAGCTGTATAGATGATGCCCTTCTTCTCCAGCTACCAACATTAAAAATCAGCCCCATGGAGTCTGCTGCAAACCGAAGAAGAGGGCAGTGAACGCATTTCTGACTCATACCAAAAACCACATAAGGTTTTCAGTCCTAGGGTCTCTAGATGGGTTGTAAAAGTGGTGGATGGGACTCAGACTGTGAATTCCTTGTTACTGGTTAAGAAATGTCTCCCTTGCACAAAAAGATATCCCAAGATATTTTTTCTTCTGTGTACACTGAGTAGACCTAACAGTACATCCCTGAGAGGACTCAGTCATAAAGATAAAATTCATGCTTTTTAAAAAATGCAGATGCAAAATGAAAGCACAGCTTGGTTAATTACCTCTCCCTTTTCTGCTTTCTTAACCATGGACTAACAAGAGTGTAGGGTAAGTACAGTCATTGTTAATCCTGGGGCATAGCTGCCCTGTGCTTTGTAGGATACACATGAAATCAGGAGTTGGGGTGGTCTCTGCAAACAGTGCAGGGTTTTGTGTCTGATGCCTGGCAAGACCCTTCAGATGCCTTTGTTTCTGACTCCTTCCCAATGCCCCCCCAGCGGCCAGAGCAATGGACACGTGCTACATCGCCAGCACCTACTCCACCTGCTCGCTGGAGGAGATCTCCGAGGCTGCGCCCGGTGGCCTCCGCTGGTTCCAGCTCTACATCCACCGCAACAGGGCAGCTTCCCAGCAGCTGGTCCAGCGGGCAGAGGCCTTGGGCTTCCAGGCCCTCATCCTCACCGCCGATCTGCCCTACACGGGCAAGAGACGCGATGATGTCCGCAATGGCTTCCGCCTTCCTCCCCACATGAAAGTGAAGAACTTGGAAGGAGCCTTTGAGGTTTGTAAAATGAGCCTGTCCTTTCATTCACTGCGCTGGCATGTACCACATGAGAGAAAAACCACTGGGTAACTGCTGCCCTGGCATTTGCTGTACGAGGGTGTATCTCCTCCCCTGCTGCTTCTGCAGCATCCTGGCTTGACCTCCTGCCGAACTGGGTTCTATCTTCAAAATCCCCACACAGCTGCCTCAGAGACACTGATCTCCACCCCCATTGAAATTATTCTCCTCCAGAGACATGTGACATTTCTGGAGCTGATGAACATGTCTGTTGGCAAGTTTGATTAATTTGTTCTAGGACAAGGAAAGACACCAAGGGACCTGTGTATTGTTGCAGCCTGGATGAGTTTTCCTTTTGCTGTTTCATTGTGACTGTAGGGAGATGACTGCTCTGAGTATGGACTGCCACCCAACAGCTTGGACCCTTCGGTCACCTGGAATGACATCTACTGGCTGCGGAGCCTGACACGCCTGCCCATCATCATCAAAGGCATCTTGACAAGAGAAGATGCAGAGCTGGCAGTGAAACATGGAGTTCAGGGAATTATTGTGTCCAACCACGGTGGAAGGCAGCTGGATGAGGGACCTGCCACTGTAAGTGAGAAGGGATGAAAATGGATGTCCCACATTTTCCCCATTTACGGTCTGCACGTTTGCATTAACCTGGGTGTCTCTATGCTCAGGTTTGTGTGTACACTTCTGGTGGACTTGAGTTTGTCCAGTGGCCATGGATGTGTGCCGATATACTTTAGCTTTAAACTGGTGAGATCCATACCTTGGCATGGGGGCTATCCACTGAAGTATTTCCTCAGCTTCTTGGGAGGGTTCTGTATGTACCACAGAACCCACTTAAGTGCAGATAAACTCCTGGCCTAAGTCAGGGAGAGTTCCTGCCTGTGCCTCCAAGAGCTGGTGCAGCACACTCAAACTCTTTGCGCACTGCAGCAAAAAGAAAACTAAGCTCTGGAACCAAAATTGTACAAATGAGAGCATAATGTATTCTCATTGTTCACATCTGTCAAAACATGCAAAACAATGCAGCTAGATTTAGTGAGAGGTCTGCTTGCGTATTTACAGGCTCAAGTCTAAATGGGAATTTATTGACTTACACGAGCCAGAAAAAGGATAACTTATCTGGAGAAAAATTCCCCTGCTTTTAAATTCGTACAAAGAAATCATGCATTGTTTAGACATGTGTGTATTTCACTGGATTAATTTGGCTTCTGTCAGTTTTTCCAATTGCTCTTATTTTACAGTTCTGCATTGCACAGTATCTTACGAACTTTCTTTTCTTGGTTTTCTTTTGTTAAATAAAAATAGGTACCAGGGAATTTCTTCTATTCTGCGTCACGGCTGACAATAACGAATAAAAAAAATTTAATAAACTCAATGCTAAAGGCATAATAACAGAAATAGCATCCACATTAAACTGTTCTTCTACCTTAAAAGTTGTTTTACATACACAGACAAGGCAGTAGATACCTAGTTGGGTTCTGCTATTTTTCTAGTGCCAATCTTGGCTCTTGCTGAGTTAGTCCTAGAAAATTTCAGCATGAAGGTTCTCAGTTTGAAATTCAGAAAAAAAAAAAACTAAAGGAAGGCAAAAAGGTATAAGACACTGCAGAAAAGAGTCTTTTGGGTTTGCTCTGAAGGAGAGTTAATTATGTCCAGTGCCTTGTCCTGCCCCTGGCTGTACTGCCTTTGGGGCCAGAGCCAGCATCTCTGCGTGGTGCTGCCCTGCAATAACATCTGAGGCTTACTCCACGCTGAACTCTTCAGAAAAGACCTTAGGGAACCAGGAGACCTAACCTGGAGGAAATTATTGACTGTACTACATAGCAAATGAAGCCCTTCACAGATGCTTTAGAGGGAGACACTCAAGAGGTGGTCACCAGGATTAAGCTGAAGTGTAAGCTTAGGTAGTTTGAGCAGTAGAAGTCTGACATCAGCCTTTCTTGCAAACAGCTATATTATTCATCATTGTCTCAAATGAAAGTAAAATACTGATGACAGTTATTCCCATTGAAATTTATATTTAAAATCTTTCCTAAATCTATTGAAAATGTTGCTTTTCACTAATCAAAAGTGATAGCAAAGAATATCAGTATAAGCAAAGCACTGGAAAATGGCATTAAGTGTCTGGAAAGCAGAGCAGGGAGCTGCATGTTTGTTATTCCGCAGCTCCTGGTGCTGCGCTATTTGTGATGCATTGTCACATTTCATTTTGAGAAGGTATCCCACTAAAGCACTGCATCCCTGCCTGTCTCTTTGGAATATGTCCTCCTTCTCTGGGAATCAACAGCTGCCCTCAAGGTGAGACTGGCTTCTTCTTGCAGATTGATGCTCTGGTTGAGGTTGTGGAGGCAGTACGAGGCAGAGTGGAAGTTTATGTCGATGGAGGAATACGAAAAGGCAGCGATGTGCTAAAAGCTCTGGCACTGGGGGCAAAATGCGTCTTTATTGGAAGACCAGCGTTGTGGGGCCTGGCTTACAAGGTGAGTAAGGAGCTCTGGGTCCATATGCCTGCTGCTCACACTCTCCAGCAGTCCTGCAACTGAAGTCACACAGTTGTCACTGGTGGAGAATATATTTTTTAATTTTATTTTGCTGAATTTGAAGTGGAATCACCCCAAATTGAATGAAACCCTGACGCTTCCTCTGATTTAAAAATACCACTGAATTTGACAATTTCCTGGGATTTTGAACAATGGGATTTTGAAGGTGATAGCATTGTTTTGTGGGACCTGATTTTTTGATGTTGCAGTTTGGTGCTAAGATACTTTAGGACTCAGTGCTTTTGAAAATTGGAGCTGGCTTATTTGCCAGAAAGATTAATCTGACAATTTTATTTGCTTTCAGCAAATAGTTGGGAACAATACATGGTTTTGGTAGAACAGTTTCACAGCAGTGCTATGAATTCTTCAGAAATACATATGGAGCTCCATCCCATGGATGGCTGAAACATTTTGGACCAGGCTGAGCAAAACTGTATCCTGGAAAACTGTATCCACACTTTTCCACTGTGGCCTGGGTTTTCCACTTCTATTTCAGGTCCAGCTTTGCTGCTTCTCCACTCCAGGCATATTTCTATGATCCAGAGTCATGAATTGGGCCTCTGATGCAGGAGATAAACATAATATAATCAAAATTAAAATAATATTATTCTACCAGTTGGGGGTTTTTTGCTAATTATTTTGCTTTTTACACTCTGGATGGAGTCTTCCAAAACTTTTCTCTAAAAGAAAAGATACTTTTTTTGCGTGGTCTAGACACATTTTCTTTCTCTTAAATGGCACTCTTGTCCAGTGGTGTGATTGCTGTGGATTCCAGTAGCAAGGCTTTGATCAAGAAATTACCTGAATCCCCTGAAAAAACCTGTAAGTGTTGGCAGTACTGGTTTTAGGGCCAGTAAATATCAGCAAAGGGCCTAACATGAAAAAAGGTGTTCCTGTGAGTTGCCTGCACTTTCTCCACAATGGCAACAGAAATGAGATGAGATTTTGGGGGATTCAATTGTGCTTTGGTGTTGTATTCCATAGAGTATTCCTAAAGATGTATCTCAGTGGCATTACCAAAGTATATAACAGAGGAAGGGCATAAACAATGCTAACACTGACTGCACCCAAAGCATTCATTATTGCAAGACATAAAAAGAAAATTCAAGAGAAAAAAAAATTAATCGCCCAGTATTTCATAGGAAGATCAAAATCTTCTATGCATTTTAATGGCTTTTGAGCTTCTTGGTGTCACACAGAGGAAAACACATAGTCTATTATTTTTAAAGATTCAGTCTACTAATTGAGTGAACTACGGTTTCTGGAGTGGTAACATATATAAAACTCATTACTTTGTTAAAACCTATCAGCATTGTAAGGCTTGACATTTTAAATAGCAAGCTATTGGTGGGGGAAAACTGAAAGCTAAAAAAAAGAACCAGCTACAAAATGTCAGAAGTGAAAAACAGCTTTGTTTTCTTTCCCTGTTCAGATGTATCCCAAAAGGAAAAGCATCTAAATTAATCTGTGATGAACTGAGCACATCCATCACATCATTTTAATCATTCATCTGCATGAGAGACTGGAATTGGCATGGATTTAAGGGACTATCCCAGCTCTCAGGGTGCAGGCATCCTGCAGCACTGCTCTGTGCCAGGGCTCCTTTTACCCTGACTGCTGTCTCTGTTGGTGCAGGGTGAAGAAGGGCTTCAGGAAGTCTTGAGAATCCTTCAGGATGAGTTTCGCTTGTCTATGGCCTTAGCTGGTGAGTATTTTGTTTGTAATGGGTGTTACAGATGTTTCTGCATGCAAGCCTGTAAAATCAGGAGCGTGATGGATAGGTGACAAAAAGGGAATCCACAGGAGCTGTGATGGTTCTAGCTGCTATACTTGAGATTCTCTGCTTCCTGTGAAACCACTTGGCATTCCAGGTGTCACAGCAATGAAGTTTGCACTGAGGGAGTAGGTTAGAGCAGCTTTGTGACCCAAGTAAAGAGATGCAAAACTGTGAAGTACAGCCGAGCAAAACTTGGAATTTCTGTTCTGGGAATGATAGCATCAGTTTCTCAGTATTTAGTGTTTATCAAGGTGAAACGCAACTGATCTTTTTTCTGCATGAAGAGCTCATTAAAAATGGAGGCAGAATTTTTCTCTGTGTGTTAGATAATACAGTCTGTAGGGGATTACACATTTTAAAAGCTTTTGTGTCTCCTCCCTTTACTCTCACTCTGTTTTTCTCACTCCTGCTCCCAGCTGTGGCTGCCCTGTTTGAGTCTCTCACCAAACAGCAAATTTGCAGAGCCCAGTGCAAGCTTCAGTTTTACTCTTGGACAAGAGGGTTATGGCACTGGAACAGGGTCCCCAGGGCAGTGGTCAAAGCAGCAAGCCTGACAGAGTTCCAGAAGCATTTGGACAATGCTCTCAGGCACAGGGTGTTATCCTTGGGGTGTCCTGTGCAGGGCCAGGAGTTGGACAGGATGATCCTTGTGGGTTCCTTCCAGTGCAGGATATTCTATATATTATGATATGTAGAACTCAAGTGGACAGCAACACTGACTGGGAGACTGGAGCTGAAATCCCTCTGGCCACAGTGTGGTTTTATGGGTTACTTTTCCAATCAGTAAATATTCCTGGGTTTTTTCCCCAGCAGACTTTTACAGTTCATGTAAAAGGGCACAGGATTCAGCAAGAGCAGCAGGTTGGGATCCTTTTGCTGAGGCTGTGAAATTCATTGAATGATACAATCTTTTAGGTTGGAAAAGACATTTTTAGATCATCAAGTCCAACTGGTGACCCAACACAGCCGATTCCACCATGAAACCATGTCCCTTAATGCCATATCTACGTGTCTTCTAAACACATTCAGAGCTGGTGACTCAACCACTTCCTTGGCAGCCTATTCCAGTCCTTGATAACAACTTCTGTGAAGAAATTCTTCCTAATATCCAATTTAAACCTCGCCTGAGCAGAGGATTCAAGGTGCAGCCTCAGCAGTGCCCTGCACAGGTGACAATCACTGGCCTGGTCCTGCTGCCCACACCATTGCTGACACAGGCCAGGATGCCAGTACCACACCTGGGTACACAGCTGGCTCATGTTCAGTCAGCTATCAATCAGCATCCCTATTCCACCCATATTTGTCCAAAATAAATGGCAATGCAAATCTTCACCTCTGGCCATTTGGTGCACAGCAACCCCTGTCTTTTCTCTGTGTTTTTCTGCTGATTTTACTGGATCAGGTTGGAGCCTGCTCAGTTTGTTATAAAAACATTTTTTTTTTCATGGTTCTGACTCTTCTTGTTGGGGGACTCCAGTGCTGAACCTGGAGGCTGATGATGCTGCTGAGGAGTGGAGATATTGAAGCACCAATCTATTTCAGCCTGGCTAGTACAAGACTGGGGTTCAGAGCAGGGGGGCTCCCAAGCTTCACCCACAGACCTTTCCCTCTCACCAGTGTTTCATTTATTGCAGGCTGTGCCAGCGTCTCAGAGATCGGCCAGCACCTGGTTCAGTTCTCAAGGCTGTGATCAGCCTCCTGCCATGCCCACCAAACAGAGACAGCTGAAGCTAAGGTCCCAGCCAGACTGAAGATGAAAAAGGAGGTGCAATAAGTATCTGATAAGGCCTTCTGGACACTTCTGAAGAGATTAGGAAAGGCTCTGTGTTAGCAAAGGCTGTTCTCTGCTTTTATTGAATGAATTCCACAACAGTTTGGGTAGTTGTTACTTGTCTAAATGCATTTTCTTTAAACTGGCTGTTCCACAGCATTACCTATGTTGGGTCTTCCTCCAAAGTTCCTCTACACTGGACAGCCAGATATGGAAAACCCTGTGCCTTGCTTTTTCCACTTGTCATGGCAAGTCTCACTGCAACCCAATCCACACACCTCTCCTGCTCTGGGACTGCAAGTGTTGTGGCTGCTGTCTTCCACAGACTTGGCTTTTCCTGGATGTATTCGTAAAAGATATAGAAGTAAGGTGAATCAGCTGCCAGGCACCCCAGGTGCCCTTTGCAAGTGGGGGCAGTTCTTGCCCACTGCTTCTAAATGCAAAGCAGGGAAGGGGTGGAGCAGAGTGCCACTTGTGGGGAAAGAGCCAGCTCCTTTTTCCAGTGGTGCAGCCCCCTGCCTTTCCCTGCTTTGGAGCCAGCAGATTCCCTGATACCCATTTCCCTGGCACATGCAGTGGGAGTCATGCTACCAAAAGGTGACCTTTTGCATAAATCCCACTTTAAATCTGCCCAAAGAGGGCAGAAGGAAGAAGCTAACCCTGTTGGCTCTCTCTGTTTAGACTTTGGTTTCTCTCAGAGATAACAGTGTCTGCAGTGATCTCCCAGAGGCCTTCATATGGAGGCCTTCCTCTCTGTTCCAGTAACAATAAACCTTGTCAGCAGACTGACAGCCCAGTAGATAAAACTTGGGAATTACAGCACATCACACACGTTGATGGATTTCAAGGATGTACAAGAAGAGAATGAGACAACTGGGAGTGCTCAGTCCTGTGAAGGCTAAAGGCAGGGGGAGGAGGGATCACATCACTGCCTTTTACTACTCATTTGGAGAAGATCCAGGCCAAATTCTTGGATGTGCGCAGTAAAAGGGTGAAAGGCAATGGGCACAAGTTGCAATGAGGAAAATTCCAGGCAGAAATCAGCGGGGGGAAAACCCACCATGAGGGCAGTCAGACACTGCAACACAGGATTTGTGAAACCTCCATTGTCAGAGATATTCAGAGCTTGCCTGGGCAAGGTCCAGAGCAACCTCTCTGACACGGCTGTGAGAAGAGGCTGGCCCAGAGATCTCCCAAGGCTGCCTTTAATCTGAATTGTAGGAGGATGTCACAGAATCATAAAAAGAGCTGCACATGAGATCTGTACCCTGCCATGCCACTGTGCTGCCATGACCAAGTACCTGGAGCTGCAGAGGCAGCACGTGTATCTCTGTGAAGGGCTGCAAGAAAACATTTTCTGAGTGAAAAACAAAGATATTTGGTGAGTGAACTTAAAGTGAGAGGTCACAGGGTTCAATCAGGATAAGAACCTATTTAACAAGCCCAGTTTTTCCAAGATATTGAAAGTTTTCTGTGATCTGAGTTAGGCCTAAGCCAATGCATACTGAAGTTTTACACCCAGTTCTGCTTTATGTACTTGATGTCTCATACACTTTCAAGCAAGGTTAAATCTTATAAAAAAACTGTCCTCAAAGATTGTAAACATGCAGTTTAAGGACTAATCAAACCCTGCTGCTTCCCAGCATCCCTGGAGGATGGGACAGAGAATCAGCCTACTTACAAGGGTAGTTTATCTACAAAATGGATCCAAACCTAAACATTTTTCTTTGGCATATAATGCAAATTTCTCCAGCTTTTAAATATATGAGTCACTCATCAATTTCACCTGAGGAAATAGAGTTCTTCCTAAAACTATAGGGAAAAGGAGACTAAATGTTTGTTTCTAGATAATTGCCCAAATCATGTGCTGTATAATATGGCAAAGACTGCTGCAAGAAGCCTTTTAGATCTTGGAGATAATGTCAGAAATGTTTACAATCACCTTCTCCATTCTACTGGAATAATTTTGGTATTACTGAAATAGGAGATTTTTTCTTTGTCAGGTTTGAAGACACAGAAGCACTGAGGCCTCTTAAGGTGGTTTTCTTCATACCATGATAAAGTGTCTTACAACTCTTCTCTACTATGAGAAGTTGTGTTTATTCGGAGTCCAATATAGGACAGTTGTCCACAAGTTAATTATTTCAATTTTTTCCCCCTCTTGTCAATATATAACTAGTGGAGAGGGAAATGTTTCCAGGAGGGAACAGTGCCTCCCACACTGAAGGGCAGAAGTTTTCCTTGAGTAAAACCACATTTCAAAGTCCAGCCTCTCTCCCAGAGCTGCCAGCATGCCAGCTTACAGACATACAGTGGTAGAAAAACACATTAGTTTTTCATGTGAGAAGAAACATAGAATTGAGAGAGAGAGAGAGAGAGAGAGAGAGAGAGTATATGTGTATGTGTGTGTGTGTGTGTGTGTGTGTTTTGGTCACAATTACTCTATATTTAGAAATCAAAAGGTCCAGCTAAATAATGAGTATGCTTTTGCTGCTTTTGCTTTTCCCTGCTTCAGTTCTCATAGGTCTGGGCAACAGGCCAGACTTCAGAAACCCCTTTCCTGAATTAAAATTCTTTCTGGACAAATAGATCTGTTCTTTCTTTTTTACTTCTGGATACCCTGATTGATAGGAAAATCAGTTTACTTCATTCCGTAATTAAACAGCATTGCCCTCTGTAAAAGTACCTTTTATCCTATAAAACTTCCATGCTCATTCCAATACCATGATACAGTTTTTTCCTAAGGCTGCTGGGAATTTTCCCTTCACTATTTCTCTTTGTGTCTTCTCATCTCCACTGCACTCCCTCCCAATCCATTTTCCCCCTTGTGACAAGGCTAAGAAAATACATTCTCTGACATCTGCCAGTCATTGCTCCAAAGTATCTGTCACAGCAAAATCAGAGGAGCAGCTGTTCCTGGGCCAGGCTGGGATGGGACATGGGGCATTGAACATATACTAAGCTATCCACTTAGACCATGTGTAGCATTTCTCCAACACTCATCAAAATATACAAGCTCTGATTTTCTAAAATGATGCTCTCAGTAATGCAGTCCATTCTACAGCAAAATATCAGATTGTGGTGGCTTCATTTTACAGACATCAACATAGTTAAAAAATGTCTATGCCTTGACACAGCTTGGTAAACTTTTCAATTACTGCTCAATTATGTTTTTATCTGCAAGTCCCCTTCCTGTGCAATAACTCTGAATTTCATCAAGTTGTTCCTGGTGGGGGGGTCTGGTGGACTTTGGCCTTGCTGCTCCCTGGCACCGTTCTGGGGTGCGCAGCCCATTCCCGCATCTGCCTCCCTGTCCTTTGGGGAACACCAGAGCCAGTCCTGTCTGCTCAGGAGGAGCTGGCACAGCACTCAGCAGCCCAGCAGCGATATCAACACGAAACAAGAGGTGAAAACGTTGTTTCTTGATAAAACTGCAGAAGAACCAGGAGTCCTGAGCTGGAACTGAGCAAATTGCTGCAGTCTGACCACTGACATTCACACACGGCAGCTCAGATGGAGGCTGCTATGCAGTGATGTATAAAACTCCCTCAAACTAAGCCAAGCATTTGTCTGAGTAGTACCTAAGAGGACAAAGCACAGTAAATCTCCCTGCAGTCCCCTGTGAAGCACTCATCTTCTCATATAAGCCCTACCCTGCTAAGCTTGGTCATTCTGATAGGCAAGCTTGGTGCACAAGAGTGTTTTGTATTCCAAGAGGCTACGTGGTGTTGTGTGGTCTTGTAATGCCTCTTCAAAGCATTTTATTTCCTTTTTGAAAGCAAAAAAGGAGCCCTGTTACAGAGAATGCCACTTGGAGCAGCAGTATTTGGCCAGTTATTTTTCCTTGCAAAGTGCACAAAATTAATTTGCAGCAGCTTCTGATAAGAATATACAATGTCAAGGTCCTGAATGTGAAAAGCCAAGGAGAGAAGCACTGATAACAAAATTTTTAAAGCTCTGTTGGGGTAAGTAACAAATTTTCAAGGACTCTGGGATTGGAACAGTTGCCAAAACTTTGTCATCTGTGTCAGCTAGAAACCTTTCTCCTCCAACAGAAGAGGTTTTGCTTTCCTCCTGAGACTTGCAAGCCCAGTTTTGCTCTAAAAAAGTAACAGTGTGGGGATGCTTCTACAGCTTTTCTCCAGAACTCTCTTTAATGAGTGAACAAAGCCCATGATAGAATAAAAAAAAAGGAGCTTTGCATGAATGGAAACAAAGCATTTTTAGAGATCCATTCCAGCTATGCCCCAAAACAAGGATCCCTTCTCCAGTGATTTCAGCCTAATTAATTGTGTTGCTGGGGTTCTTTGTAACTTCCTTGTAGCTCAAGGCAGCTCCCTATTTATCATCCTGCTTCAGCAGGGATGGCAGCCTACCCCTGTGTGAGAGAGAGAGAGAAAATACAGCTGCAGCCAGCGTGTCCTGACAGACCCAGGAGGGCAGTGCTGGCTTCAGGAGGTTCAGGCTATTGCCCTGCCCTGGGCTCACACTGCAAAACAGTTTTGCTGGAAGTGGAGTGAAACCCCAGGGAGAAACACCTGGGCATTTTCCCTGCATGTTGGAGATGCAAAGCAGTAACAACACAGATCACTGCAGAGGCACAAACAGCCTTACTTTAAATAGTTACTCTTGCACAAGACATTTCCAGAGGTGAATCTTTCCCTCCTGCAGCTTGAATTTAACTTGGATGGTACATTAAACAATTTCATCACTTCAAATGCCTGTAGTGTACTGAACAAATACAAAATCCCCAGGGTTAGCTTCTGATCTTGCACAGAGAGAGTGACAAACCCGCACTGTAATGGGGGAGCCCAGTATCCAGAAATTATACAACGGCAGAACTCACTCCTCAAACCACTTTAAATAGCTTCTCCTCTATTTGCATTTAATTTAAATCCTCCCTACCCTCAATATTGGCACAATACTGGCACTGCATTACACAAGAAAGTGCAGCTGAAGAGAATTATGAACATGAGGGTTTATTCTCTGGGGATTTAGGGATGCAGGACCACATCTGGGCTCAGACCTCACTGTATTCAGAGCCTTCCTCTTTGGTGGGAGTGGTGTGGAAGCATCACATTCTTTTGCAGCAAAGGAGGCACTCAAGAGGGAGGGGAGCAGAATGACTGAGGTGGTGCCCAGCAGGCTATAAATGCAGGCAAATCTCCCCCACGGTCTGCTGAGTGCTAGGGAGGTGGAACCGAGACTCAAGGCAGACTTTTGTGGGGTTCGTTTGGCATTGAAGTCGATTTTGAGCATTTTCAGATTTGCTAATTGAATTGGTGGTTTGTAATGATTTGTTAGAATGTTTTCTTTGCGCGGAAAAAATCCATAGACTACCTCTGAATAGGATTAGCTAGCAAAAGTAAGGCATGCTTTAAAAAATTTTTGATGTAGGGATTAAAGTTTGTTTTTCAGTAGTCTCTCCTTCTGGTAACACCCTTTGATTGGCAGTGTTTCCAGAGGTTGATGTCATATGTTCCTTCCCTCAGGCAGGAGGAGAACCAAGCTCAAGAGACGGCAAACCCACCACCGAGGAGGAGCCCAGAGCAATGTCCCTGGCTGGGGTGAGCTGCCTGGTGACAGGGGCAGGAGGGTTCCTCGGCCAGAGGATTGTGTGCTTGCTGCTGGAAGAAGAGGAGGCTCCGGCTGAGATCCGGCTGCTGGACAAAGCCTTCAGCGCTGAGGCACTCGGCAGGTTTGACAGTAAGTGACATTCCTGGGGCTGTGCTGCAGCTGGGGGAGCTGCAGTCCCTTGTGGGCACCTGGGAAACCTTTACCTGTCATCTGAAACAGCTCTGCAGATAGAGGTATCAGCTCAAGGAATCCTTGCTCTATCCCTCCAGCACAGAAATCAGATGTAAAATGTGAAAACAAGAGGGTTTTTTGTCAGGCCCTGAGGCTTCTGTATACTGTTCATGCAGTAAACAGGCTGTCTTCAACCTGACTCCTCTTACAACAAAACCCACAGAGCAAAATTAATGCAAAAATCTCACACTTCTTCTTGGGGAAAGGGAAAATTCAAGCATTACTCTACTGGGTGGGAGGGCAGAAATATCCAGAGCATGCTGTGGTGGGCTCTGGTGTGCCAGACAGCGAAGGCAGAGAAAAAGTTGTGGGTGCAAATTCCAATGGTTTTCTTCAACCTGTGATTAATTTGATTAATAGTGATCTTCTGGCTGAGAGCTGTGGTGAGGTATTTTTAAAACTGCTTCTGTTAATAACATTATTGCAGTTTCCTGTTTAAGCAAATGCTAAACAGAAGAGACAAAACTCATTTGCAAAGTGCAAGGCAGGATTCTTGAATGGATTGGAGACAGCACAAGGGAGTGATGTGCCCAGTGTCAGAAACAGTCTGTGGCAGCGAAAGCAGCTCAGAGGGTTTTATTTTGAATGCCCTATTTACTGAGATACACTGAGCACATCTATAAAAAGGCATCTCAGGGGCCTAAATTCAGTCAGGTCTGTAAGCCCTTACATTATATTTACTTAACAGTAACTTCCTCCATCACCTCTTCAATGCAAGACTCCTCTTCCTCTATGCAGGAAACTATATGGGAGCCCTTAAGGAATATCTCTGTATGATTTGCTGAAGAGCCTCAATCACTCTATAGAGCATTAAAGTGTCTTAAAGGGACAGCAATAGTGCACAATACACCTGGTACAAATTGCACAAGCCTTTATCACTGTTTTACACAACTCTGCTCCATTTTACAGACTTCTTCTCCATTAAGTCTGACTCAGGATTTCTAAATGCCCCTGAGCCTTGCAGCAGCCCTTCCTGCTCTGGTTTCCAGAGAGTTCCCACAGGAATAAACCCAAAACCTGCAGCTACAGTAGAGGCTGAAGCAGCAGGAGTGTGTGTGGTTTAGCAGTGATGCAGCAGGGCAGAGGCATCTACATTGCTTTGGGCCAGAAGAGCTTTGTGGGGACAATGGAACATCCTGGGGAGTGACAACCATTGTTTGTGTGGTCACAGTGTTGGCTGGGCTGCAGCAAACGTTTTGATGTTTTGGTTTTTTGTTAATAGGCAAGCTCTGTGCCCTCTTTCCTTATTCTCCCTTCTTCATGGAGCACTGCCCACACGCTCCCTCTCCTATTCTTTTAACATTCCTTCTGCCTATCTGAGCAGCACAGGAGGTGGGGAAAAATCAGTTACCAGAGCCTTTTCTTCCCCATAAACAGGTGGTAGGGACCATAGGCTGACATCCCAGATGTGTTTAAACAGATCTGAACCCCTGCACTTTGACTGGGAGCTCGTCTGTCTGCATCAGCCCTTGTGGCTGTGTGGCTGCATCTCTTTTAGTGTCCTGCCAGTCCCTGTGCTCAGAACTACCCGAAATATTTCCCTGCTGTTCCCTTTCAAGCCCTTCTCTGTCTCAGTACTCCTATTCCAAGTGTGAGGCTGCTACAGAACCTGTGGGTGGGGCTGGCGTCATCTGACCTGCATTATTTTTACTACAGGGACTTCTACTTGCTAGCAGATGTTATCTGGACTTCTGGAACAGCCAGGAGCAGAGCTGAGTGGGTTTTTTCCTCAGTAATCTCTTGAGCCCCTTGCACTTGCAATATCTGTGCAGAGTCAGGGCTGTGGGTAGTGAGACAGAGCAGTGTATGCAATCACAGGTCCCTGTGCCAGAAGGCACTCAGGGGCACTCCCCTTTTATCCACACAGCTTTCCTGCTGAGAGCTTGACCACCCCATCAGTCTGTGTAGGACGGTGGCACTTGTGGTCTTCCACAGCCCCAGGGAGTCTGCGATGATCCAGTCAGTGTCCAGGGCTGTGAGCTGGAATCCACCTGGTTCCATTGTGTGGTTGAGAATGGATGTCACATTCAACATGGCTCTTCGGTGCCTGGGTTTCTTACCTCCCACCTCCCATGTCAGATTTATCTTTCTGCCCTTCCTGTGCTCCCACTTACACAATCCTTTCTTTGTTGTTCACTATTGCATTGGCACTTCTGGAGAAATCAAAACTCCTATGTTGTTCTCAAGTTTAGGGGAAATAGTCTGACTGTACTGCTGAGTCAAAAACTGCTCACAACAGGACACTGAATTTTATTGAGAAATCATTGCATTTTCAAGCAAAAACTACCCACAAGCAAGCAGGGAGATTACTTACAATTCAGAGGACACAGAAACCACTGGTGAAGAAGAACAAGTTTTCCCAGTGAGTAAGTACTTTGTCATAATCACTTTATGCAAAAATGGAGAGCTGACTTGAATTTTTTCTGTTCCTCCCCCTCTGACCTCCCCACAAGTGTTCTTTTGCTGCCTGGGCAATGGTTTGTCTAGATGGAAATCAAGAGCAGTTCTCTCTGCTGGCCATCCCTGACTGAAACCCCTGCCAGTCATTTCTTAACTCTCCTTTCTTCCAAGCTCACCTGTAGTTTTCTCTTCACCCAGAGCAAAACAAGATCACTCTGCTGATTCCTGACATGCAGCTGATGCTGCTAAAGGGAGCAAGGCCCACATTGTACTTACCACGGCAACTTCTGCTGGCTAAAACAGAATTGAGGAGCAGATTTCCTGACTCATATCATACACACACAAACTGCAAGCCCAAACAAGGCACAAAGCACCTAGACAGCAGACTTCTTGTGATCAGCTTTAAAAGGAACAGGCTTCTTCTGTACTTTTCCCAAAGGCTTTGATTTGCATGTGTAAAACTTACCTTTTCCTAACCCTTTCCTGGGCACTGTGATAACTTTGAAGAGGTCACATGTCAGAATTTATGTTGCGAAAACTATTTCTGTCTGTTCTTGGGATTATTACAACCCTATAAAGCCTTGTTCTTGGAGAACATCAACCTAAGGGCAGTGCAGACACTAATATTTATTAGAGCAAATCTAACTACCAGGAGCTCAAAAAGAGCCCAGCCCTAGTCTGACACTTTTGCATCCATGCAAGCAGAGATCAGAGTGAAGCTTCTGGAGATGGAATCCTAGGAAATGAATGCAGTCTGTAAAATAAAGGAGCAGAAGAGAGTGTGTGGCAATGACTGTGCTGGGAGGGCAGCAACTCCAGATTTAGTAACAGTTCAGCAAATGTTCCACAAACCTTAAATCTCAGACCAACTGTCTGTGGTGGGAGAAAAAAAGTCCCTTAAGCCTGTTGCATCAGAATAATTGTTAAATTGACACAGGATTACATTCTTAGTGTGCTATAGAGAAAATGAGATAAAACCATTTGAAAATATATCCCCACTCAGTTCCAGATCCAGCAGCTGTGTCTCTCAGTGTTTCTTATTACAGACATGGGATGAAATACTGCCTGCTTTGGAGCTGGTGACAAAGCACTAGGATACATGAGATTTCAGTCATGGCTGAAGCTAAAAGCTGTACAAATTAATCAGGTTCTTCTCTTATCTAAAAGGGGCATTTGGTGATGCTGAAGAAGACAGAGGCTCTGCCTGTGCTGCAGAGTCCCTGCCCAGAGGCTGTGCCTGGGGAGCCATCTAGTGCAGCCGCAGCAGCGGCTCCCAGGGGACTTGGTGATGGCACCAGCTCCTCACAGGCTGTGGTCATGCTGGGGAAGTCCCCTCCTGCCCGTGGCACTGCTGAGCCAGGCCAGCTGAGGCCCCTGCACAGCAGCACTGCCTTGGACTGGGCATCTTTTTCCACGTGATTGTCTGGTGCTGGCTCATTTTGTGTAGCTCTGGGCTGCAGAAAGAATCCTTCTGCCCAGCACACAATGGCTCTGAGACCTACAGCTCCTCTGGGGTCACACACTGCAGCTGCTGTGGAGGGACAGGGCTTAAAAAGCAGGATTTAATCAAGCCAGGCTGAGGTAGCTCAGGAGAACACTCTTGAGAGTTCAGGTATGAACCAGAAAGATGTGCAGGCTAAAAATTACCCACAGCACAGACACTGAAATGGAGCTGGAAGAAGCAGTGTAGATCCTGGCCAAGGTACAAGAGAAAGATGTCAGAATTGTATGTGATTTATTAGGAGAGCTGCAATACCGGCAAGGTAAAGGGACAGAAAGTAGGCATGAACACATCCCTGTGCTCACATGCTCTGGGTGGAGAGAGATCATTCATCAGCCTGAAGACAGGAACATGCAGTGCCTGTTCAGTGCTCTTGGGTTAACACATCCATAGCCAGCCAGCCAGCAGAACATGCACAGCTAAAGCCTCTCCTCTGTGAGCTTCAACACAGGCACAACTCAAGGAAGCTTGCTAGCAGGGGGAGAGAACTCTCTCTAAAAAATAAAATAGAAACACGTTGAATATTGGCTCCAGATCTGTGGCAGGTAATGCAAAATAAACCTCTGTAGCACTGTAGTTAGCATTGACAATAGAGTCCTGGGGAGATGCCCTCTGTTTCACAGCCTTAAATATCCCTGCAGTTCCTGGACAGCCAGCACCTGCCAGGCAGGGTCAGCTCTTCACCAGCCTTCCAGAACTCCTCTTAGGGTGCCTCTAAGGCCTTCTGCTCTGCTTTCTGCTGCCCCTGCAGAGTTCAAGGGGAAGACTGAGCTGAAGATCCTGGAAGGGGACATCCGAGATGTGACATTCCTGCACCGCGCCTGCCAGGGCGTCTCCCTGGTCGTCCACACGGCCTCCCTCATTGACACCCTGGGCCTCATCGAGAAGAAGCTGCTCTGGGAAGTCAATGTGACAGGTGAGTAGGGGAAGCACCTTCCTCAAAGCCACATCTGTGTCCTGATCACTGCTCAGGGAAGGGAGCACCTGAGCCGTGGTTGTTTAGGGCCAGGTTACCTGGGTTGTCCTGCATCGTGCACAGACAAACCCAGGGGTGCAAATCCCATGTCTGTGCAGCCCCAAGAAGTTCTGGGCCTCTCCACATCCAGTCTTCCACTTCAGGGCAGTGCAGGATCACTCACTCTTGTCAACACTTATGTATGCCCATGCTGAGGTCTGCACAGGCTCTGCCTTCAGTGGTGATAGTTACAAACCCATGCTCAGTGGAACTTTCTGGAAGAAATTCCCCTCTGAAATCCCAATGCTTACCTCAGAAATTGGTTCTTATTCTCCCACCCCACATGGCATCCCTGCCTGTGTACGTTTTTCAATGTTTACAACTACTGCAGACTATGGCTGCAGTTAGAGAAATGTTGCACTAATAACATCCCAGAGCCTGCGGCTCTCTCCTTGCTATTCCTTTTCTTCTGCTCTTTCTCCTTTTCCTTCCTCTGCCTTTAAGTCTGTGTGTGCAAGAAGGCAGTTGAAAGGAACAAGTACTCTCCCACCTTGAGCTTATAATTTAAAAGTCCCCAACAAACTCAGAGCTTTGGGAGGGAGGGGTTTCAGTGACACAGTGATGGGATTTCCCCTTACACTAAGGAACCCCCATTCCTCAGGAAAGATCAGGTGAAGGGAGAAGGTTTTGATTAGGAATGGCCCATGTAGACTCACCTACCAGAAAGTTCAATGTATTTCCTAAAGGAACAACTTCACCCCTGTCTGTGATGCCAAAACCCTCAGTGCCATTCAGAGAACGGGCACTGCCTAACCTGCATGCACACACTGGCCTCCCTGGCTGTGCTGCTCCAACAGCTTGGGGCAGATTTGGGGAAGATGTTCTTATTTACATGAACAGCTTTCCCAGTTCTTTGTTCCCCTCTGCCACAGCCACAGGGCTTCTTCACAGAAAAATAAGGAACATACCTGTACAGGCATCACTTTCAAATACTGGCTGCTCACCAGGGCTCAGAGGAAGAGAGGATTCTTGGCAGTCGAGTAGTTTCTTACATGTACCTGACAAACAGTGGGATGGCATTGTAGTTGTTTTATGTGCCTCATTCCCTGTATCATTAGCTTCCAGACCCTTTCATTTTGGTTCAATCAAAGCCATAAATTGTCAGTGATCAAAGCACAGAGCCCACTGGGCAGCCTCTTAGGCCCCTGTCAGGAGGGATGAGTAGAAAGGCAAGTTCCTGGAAACCTGTGCATTGGGTAATATGAAAATATACCTGGTTGGTAGTTCAGAGAAAGGATTTCTAAAGCTCTGTCTTGAGGCCTGTACTCCTGCTAAAATCTGGTTTTTCACAGCAGAATGTGCTGCTTAAACACATTTTACCATGGGGAAAAATAAAAAACAACAGCTGCAAAAAAAAAAAAAAAAAAAAAAAAAAAAAAAAAAAAGAAAANAAAAAAAAAAAAGAAAATAAAAGAAAAGCAAAAAGAAAAAAATCTAACTACTATTAAAATGTCCCAGAAAGCTCTTTAGCTCTGACTCCCCAGTACTCACTCCCTTGCCAACAGTGTCTGCCTATGGGTGAAAAAAGCCCACTGGGCCAGGGGGGATTAGCTGATAACATTTGCTAGAATGAAATACCACCCACAGTCCTGTTCCAGAGCCAAGTGGCCACAAGGTCAGTGAGTGAATGCTGCTGTCCTCTCTTCGCTGTTTTCTTCCATTTCCATTCGGATGCTCTTCTCGTTTTCTGACCAGCCAGGGCACTGCTATGTATTTCATGGGCTTGCAGGATGAAAGTTTTGTTTCTCCTAGGAAATAGAACTTGTGTAATATAAATATAAATGTTTCTATAATAGAAATGTTTCAAGAATCAGATGTGGCTGTTCATGAACCAGGACAGAAGTGAGAAAGTTAAACTTGCCTTGATGCAGGGCTTTCCTCCATTGCCACACAATATCTCAAAGCAAAAATATCTTTTTAGGAAGGAAAGGAAGCAAATTTTTAAAAGGAAATGAATTGAGAAAATAATTAATTATAATCAAAACAAAATACCTTCTGTGAACCAGATCCTCAGCCAGAAGGGCAGGCAAACCATGGGGACCCTCTCACTGAATAAAGCATGTAACACAGTAAAAATTTACTTTATTACATGCTATATGAAACATACTCAGATTCCCTTTACTGTAGGAATCTTTAAACTTTTACATACAACTCTGATTTTCAAATAAACCACATTTTATTTGGGTGAAAATTATCTTGAACAGATATCAACTGTCAAGATTATTTTATTATTGCCTTTTTCTAAAACTTGCTATCTCATTTGATTTCATCAAGACCTTCTGTATTTGATTACTTTCCCTCATTTACCAAATGGTATTGACAGCAGGAATAAAGCTATTATTTTTAAAATAATATAATAAATACATTTTTTTTCCAGATGATCCTGGCTTTTATGTCATCTAAACAGGGTGACTTGCATGAACTCATTTTTCACATTAATTTATTCCTGTTTGTGTAACTTTTTTTCAGTGCACTTCCTTAATGTTTCTGAAAACCTCATACAGATTTGTTTTCCATTTGTTTTAATTTCTTTCTTTTTCTTGTTCAAGCTTGAAAAGAGGAATTTTGGTGCCCTAACAATATTCAGTTCAATAATTCTTCCTATTTTTCACTCATTAACAAGTCCATATTTTGCTGCCAATATTTCTGGCTCTTCTGAACCTCTGTAATTCATTGTATTTGTTTCAGTCACACTAGCCTGGTCTGCCTTGCGCTGCCTTCAGTTGTTGCTGTAGCAGAGTGAGCAGACTTGGAAGATCTTTAATGTGCCTCACTGCTGGTGCTTGATTTTATCCTCTAGATTTTAGGCTACACTCTTCAGATATCATATCAGTCATTTTAATTTAATGTTCCTTTGCTGAAAATGTTTTCAAATGTCTTTGAGATGTGTCTTCATTTCCAAAGTCACTGGCCTTTCTGCATTTAATTTCTCTCATTACACCATGCAGAACAAGTAAGGCAATTTCTGCCTGAAAGCCGGGTAGAAAAAATATTCTAATTGCAAGTATAACAACACAACTTATTAAAGTATTTATTTCCCCCTTCAGTGTGCTTTCCTTGTTTAACCTTCTTGGCTATTTAAAAGACTTTGAACAGCTGACCTCTGCTGCCCCCGATGAAAGCATTAAAGGATTTTAAATGTAAGAAATCCTGTACTACTGCAAGGAAAAGCCAGATTATGCCAGAAAAGGAGGCATACATACACAAGCCTCTCTTTTCCCATTGCACTTCATGATCTTTGACTACATGTTATAGTGCCTTGCTTCACCATGTTTCTGTCCAAGCCCTTCCCTTTAGCCAGTCAAATACTGGATAGATATGCACTGGGTGTGAGTGCACTGATTTTGCAGCAGACCTTCAGGTCCCATAATAATTTTGCCCCTTCTTAGCAAACCAAGAGCATCCTCAAACCTGAAAAACATGGGCTTCACCATGGAGCATGGATGATACCTAAGGAGAGGGGCAGCTTCTGAAGGTTCTCTGCCTTAAGCCTACTCAAGCTGGCACAAATCCCTGATGTGTGGGAAGGAAGTCTCCATGCTAAGGAAGGGCAAAATTTTGATTCTTGGCATAAAAAAACCTCCCACAATATGCAATTAGGATCAAATATTCACCCTTGTTTAACTCTGGAAGGTGCACTGATACCACTTAAATACACTTTCAGAGCAGGTTCAGTGTCATTGAATATATAGCCCTGTTCAGGACAGGGTTCTCCCAGCTGCAGGGAGGGGGATCTGGATAAGCTCAGGCCACGGATGCTGTTTGTGATCTGAAACCCCCACTTTTCCCTGGTTAGGAGGCCCTAACCTAGACTGCTTTTCGTGTTTGTTTTCTGAAGGTACTCAGCTGCTGCTGGAGGCGTGCATCCGCTGTAATGTCCAGCACTTCATTTACACCAGTACCATAGAAGTGACGGGCCCAAACTGCAAAGGGGACCCCATTTTCAATGGGGACGAAGATACAGCTTATGAGAGCACATCCAAATTTCCTTACGCCCAAAGCAAGAGACTGGCAGAGGATGCTGTGCTGAAAGCAGACGGCCAGGTGCTGAAGGATGGCGGCACGCTGATGACCTGTGCCCTGAGATCCATGTACATTTTTGGGGAAGGCTGCCCCTTTCTCCAAGGCCACCTGGACAAGTGCCTGCTGAACAAGAACATCTACCTGCGCTTCTCCAGGAAGGAGGCTCTGGTGAACCCCGTGTACGTGGGGAACATTGCCTGGGCACACGTGCAGGCAGCCAAAGCCCTGCGGGCCCCGCAGAGAGCCAAGCACGTCAGGGGCAAGTTCTACTACATCTCAGATGACACTCCTCACATGAGCTACGCCGACCTGAATTATGAGCTGACCAAGGAGCTGGGGTTTGGGATTGAGCCCCGGCTGCCCATGCCCCTGACAATGCTCTATTACTTCTCTCTGCTGCTGGAGATGCTGAGCTTCCTGCTGAGGCCCTTTGTCAGATACGTGCCCTCCACCAATCGCCACCTGGTCACGCTGCTCAACACCCCCTTCACCTTCTCCTACAGAAAGGCACAGCAGGATTTTGGCTACGTGCCCCGCTACACATGGGAGGAGGCCAAGCAGGGCACCGGTGAGTGGCTTGCCTCCGTGATCCCCCAGAGAAGGCTGATCCTGCAGAGCAGCACTGCCTGAGCCTGAAGAGGAGCTGAAACCCAGCTAAGCAAGTAGGGCCTTGAGCCAGAGGGCCCAGAGGAAAGCCTGTCACAAACATGTTTTAAGAAAAATCCTTCCCTTCGGATTTTTTTCTCCTGAGAAGCTGAGAGGTCTCAAGAACAAAATGTAAACAATGATTATCTGCTGCTGTGGAATGCAGCAGATGGATCTGGGATTGGTCTCATGCAGTTGTTTTTAATTAATGGCCAATCACAGTCCAAATGTGTCTCTCTCTGGTCAGACACAAGATTTTGTTATTCATTCAATTCTTTTTCTTGCTTGTTAGCCTTCTGATGAAATCCTTTCTTCTATTCTTTTAGTATAGTTTTAATATAATATATATATCATAAAATAATAAATCAAGCCTTCTGAAACATGGAGTCAGATCCTTGTCTCTTCCCTGGTCCTAGGACCCCTGCAAACACCACCACAGAGGGCCAGGAGAGCAGCAGCAGCAGCAAACTACAAAGCATTTAAATGAAAACTTCGTGTAAGAGCCCACTGCAATCCCTCACCCTCGACCTCAGAATAAATAAAAGTGAAATGTTCATTTGTTTGTTGGTACAGGCTGATGAGGATAACTGTACTGCATAGTTCACACCCACTTGTACATCTCTGCAGCACAAGGACTTATTTTAGCAAGACTCCACACAACCCATGGTGTGAACACTTCAGCCCTTCTTTCACTCCACGCCACCTCCAAGGCTTTTGCAAAACATTTGTCCTCGAAGTATGATTACACTTTACAAATGTGCACCACTCAGCTACTCCCTGTTCACTCAGAGTTTGCCAACCTCACCAAACAGGCAGCAGGCAGAAGCCACCTGATGGCAAAAGCTGCAACAAATCTTGTTCACCTTTTCAAGAGCATTGTGCATTTCATGTTCACCTGACAGTCAAACTCTGAGCACTGTAAGCATTGTGAGATCAAAAGTACAATGTAAGTGCAATACAGTTTTAGTCAGGACAGCATGTGGAGGGAGAGAAGGGGCAGACCTGGTCAGGTGAATACTCCTTTATGCACCCTCATTTTGCAATAAATCCAGTGGGTGTCCAGCAGAACAACTTCAAGAGAATGGAACGGAGAAAAATATTGCAGGAAGGCCTTGATCACAAAAGGGTTCCCACTGCAGAGTCAATGTATTTGTGAGCACTGAGGAAAAATAAAGAGTGCTGAAAAATATCCTGCTCCTACCACATTTCAGCTGGGAACAAAGGCTAACCTAGGCTGATAGGTACACGTGTGCTGCCCCTGTGCTTCTCTGATGGCCACAGGAGCTTCTGCACAATGTGTGACTTGACTTGTGGGCAAAAATACAGATCTTGTCTGAACAAACAAATCTGATCCAGTGTTTGTTTCTTAAACATGCATCTCACTTGCTGAAAACAACTCTAAAAGATGGGAATTCCTCTGTTGTTTCAGAAGTGTGAACAGAAACATTTTACCTGACTCAATACTAATATAAATAAATCACACTTCCAGGGGTGCTGAGTGCTTGAAGTCTGTGTTCAGTTTAATTATTCAGCACCCTAGACATTAGATAGTCCCAGTGCAAACATAACTATGTGCTTGAGTAACATCTTTGGTCAACTGTGTAAGCTCTGAAGTAGCAGAATAGCAGACACCAGAACTGTCAGTCATGTTCTGGGGACACAGATCCCCACAAGGGTATGGCCTTTGGTTTCCATCTTCCTGCGAGGAGATTACTTCATCCCTCCCTGCCTTCAGATGTGAGAGGATTCATCTTTTCTGCCATGGTGACGATGATTATCAAACATCCTGAAGGAACACAGGACCTGTCTTCCAAAGAGGTCTGGGGAGAGAAGGAAGGCTCACAAGCACTTTGGGTGCAGCTGCTTTGGGCCCTGGCAGAGCACCAGCCGCTCCTGTCAGGCCTCACCTCTCCCTGCAGCTGGGACACTGCACTTGGATCTCTGTGCTTTCTTCTTCTCCATCCTCTTCCATGGACCCTGTTCCTCTTCCCTCCCCTGCAGGCACACTCTTATTGCACTTATTCTGCTCTCTGCACACCCTTAGAAAAGCAAAAACATGTTTAGCACAGTAACACCCACAGTTTTTCTGGGCTAGTGATATTTCATCCTAATGCTCAGTGAGTGCCAAGCAATGGGTGCAGCCATGGCTGCTCTGTCACTGAGGTAGAGGCAGGAAGGGCAATCCAGGCACAGGGAATTAGATCAGCAAGGGAAGAGGGACAACAGCAGCAAAGCCACTGTTTAACAGGGGGAGACACTTCACACATCAAAGGGGTGGGGCATTAAAACACATACCAGAAAACTGGGACAACTTTCCACATGTTTAACAGAGATCCTAAAATATTCACAGATGGTGCCAGAGAGAATAAAGGATAATTTTTCTTCCACAGTTCAGGGACTTGTTTCCCAAGTGCAAGCTCCCATTGCCAGACTTTTCTTTGCCATTTGTGCCTTCACAGGAAGACAGTGGGGTCTTTTCCATCTCTCCAAGAGCCTTGCTCCCAACAGTCAGATTTCTAACTGCCAAATTCCTCCTTTGTTGAACTTCCTCCCTGTGTCTTGCTACCACATCCCTTCCTTCAATCCCCATGACAAGCCATTCCTGCTTACAGGAAGCTCATTCCCCACTTCTGTCCCTGCCTGAGCAGCCCTGGGTTGGCATCTATGTTGCCTTTTGCTTCAGGTGGCTGCCCAAAGTAGTGGAGTGCCTGCAATAAAGCATCCTGGAAGCCCAAGGGAGTGGCTACCTGAGACATTTATCCTGCTGCTGCCCAGAGGCACTGGAGCTGTTGTGTGCTGTTACCCAGGAACAAACACAAGCCAATAAAGATATTCCAAGGATACAGCGAGGGAGAACAGGCAAACTTACTGTAGAGGGATGATTTCCTGCAAGTTTGCACTCCAGTCTACTTTGCAGTAACTTGTTGCCATGCTCTTACCCTTGGCAGGTTAGCAAAATGGCTACAAAATGCACTTGACCAGGACGAGCCTTGCTGTTTTTACATCAGCTGACCAGGACCATTCTTCTGATTCAATTAGTTTGTCTGGCAGTCAAGAAAGCAAACTATTGGTTATTAATGAAGCTCCACTGTCAACAGGATCACAGTCAGTAAGAACTTTACTTCTGTATAACGAATGGAAAGGGAAAAAAAACCCAAAACATTAAGGCTGCTTTGCTGGAAAGGTGTTTATTTACCCTTCAGACATGCAGAATAGGACAAAATAGCAAATATATGGTATTTACATGCTACAGCCAAATAATGACTTCTGGTTCTAGCAGGTTCAAACCCCTACATTTATAAAGACCACCATTTGCTGTTAAATATTTTGTCTCTGCAGAAGAGCAGAGTTTTGTTTGCTAAAAGAGACCAGGAACTACAATAATGCACATTTTAATAGATTTAGGAATAAGGAAGAAGCTCCAGAGAAACAGAAGCAAAAGTGGCTACCATGTCAATACCAGAAATCCATGCCTGGAACTGGTATCATTAATATAGGATACAGTCAATGGAGGACAGTTGGACAGTTGATGCCAATGAGCATGTTTTTGTGAAAAACCCATTTTATCAGACAAGCATGACACTGGTATTCTGAGTGCATTGCAGACTTCAAATAATGATAATTTTTATTTTACATTATGAAGTTAAATGGATTAATGCAGACTAAATTATAAAAATCATAAAATTAATGTTAACTTTCTCAATAATGATCTTTAAAATTGCTTTTTTTCCTTTTTAAAGCTTTGGCTCAGTTCACAGGCTTTGTGCAGAATAACAATGTGAAAAGTTATGAACAGGCCCTATTATGTAGGAAACCAAAGTACCAATTGTTTCTTGACCTGAGAAATCTGTCACTTATACATGTAGATATAATAGATTATAGTGTCTGTAAAGCTAATTTGGGAAGTGGGAGCACGGTTGGGTACATTCCCAAAGAACAACTTCACCACTCCTTGCCATGTCCCCTGCAGTCCCATGTAATACTCTTCTCCCTCCTGAAAGCTCTCCCTCTGCATCTCCATCCCAGTTCAAAATCCCCTGGATAACTGGAATTCATGTGTAGCTGTGCAATGGATTTCTTACTCAGACCAGTGATTGCTATTTCTAGACATTCCTCATTCACAAAGCTAAACTTGTCTCATTTCTTAAATAAGATGTGTCTCTCCAGTGCTGGCAGCAGGCACTGAATATTAAGCAGTTAAGGATTAATCTGCAAAAGGGAAAAGAATATTAATCAAAAATAAAGATATATTAAATCTCCAGCTTGATCCTATAACAGGTGCCACTCAAAATGCTTAACATGCATTGTGGAAGACCATCAAGACAGAGAAAGGTAGGGATTTTTTGCTGCCTAAAATGTGGAAAGACAATCTAGAAACTTGAAAGGAAATAAAATACACATGGGCAAAAATTGCTTTGAAGGTACTGATATACTCAGTAATAATCTCATCCTTTCAGTTTTGGGTTTTTTTTTTTTTTTTTTTTTTTTTTTTTTGTAAAAAGAAAATAAATTACAGGAATGAAGCATCTTCAGCTTCTCTATTTTCTTTTTCAAATATTCTTGCACCTCAAAATTTTCTATGTGGTGATTTCATCAGAAGCTAGATATGTATTTTTCTGATAATCCCACATGCAATTTTAATTATATATTTAGGTTTCATTTATCTAGACCAAAAGCACACTGGATTTTTCACATGCACTTGGGCTTTCTACATGCTCAGTTTGCAATTTATTTGTGCTGATGACATAAGGAACGCTGCACACTCAGCACTAAGTCCAAGAAAGTTCATTTTCAAGGGGGAGTTTCTTTTGGTCCAAATTGGAATTGATGTCTCTTGTCTACAGGGCTCTTGAAATAACCCCTGGCCCACAGTGTTGCTGCAGCAATGGTCTCTCTGGCAATAATCAGGAGATGAGAACTGTCTGATCCCCGTCATGGCACGGTAGGTACTGCCTGTACAAAGTGGTTGGGGCAGTGTGGTTCTGCAGTGTTCAACTTCTCCTGCTTCTCCAGGAACTTTCCCTCAGCCCCCTTAAATGTACTGGCTGTTTATTTACAGAGAGGATGTGTATTTACTATTACAGCGGCCTCATTTAATTCGAACTCTGTTCCTGGCATTGCTATAAATGAGGGAAAG